GAAACAGTTGAACCAGATAGCTGAGGAAGGAACTAACTTTCCAGCAAGTGGTTTCACAAGCTGATTTTTATAGTGAAGTCGCTGCTCTTGTTGACAATGAGTGTTCTGTACAAATTAGGGCTACTGCTGTGGCTGTAACTATGCTGATTTAGGCCAAGTGACCAAAGCCAAATGAGAAAGCATTCATGGGTGGTGAAGAGATAACTAAAGAGTACCCAGTGCCTTGATGATCATAAGAGACGGAAAAAGCAAAAGAGGATCCCAGAGCCTGAGGGGGAAGGAAGAGGAAAGGAATCAATGGATTCCAGTGAATCTGAAGTGAAAGAATGAGCAGAATTCTCAAAATAGTTGGAGGGGCTGCATCCTTAGCTACTCTGGAGAAATAGGTCAGAGGTATTGTGACCAGGCCAGGGTAAGGAAATTTAAGACCTACAGGCAAGAACCTGTTCTCTCATGGGCCAGGTGACCTAAACAAAGGGCTTGAGTTTGGTCTGTGAATTAAGCCAGGCTAGAGCTAAGGAGACAGGTTTCCTAGAGGGAGCTAGATTCAGGGAACCAGGCCTGGGGAGTGTTTGCCTCGATTCCTGAGTAGGACAGAGTAGACCTCTGTATAAGTTCTACATGTGCTAACACAGGCTGTGCCCTAAGAAAGCCTCACCAGGCACTTTGTTCAGGAACATCCTGAGCAACAGCTGCTCTCAGGGCTAGGCAATGAGGAGAATATGGTTGCTGAGGTCGAGAACCCATGATCTGATCCATGGCAGTGGATTTGGAGACTGGAAAGACAGGATGCCTAGTATTTTCTCACTTATGCCAGGGTTTAGACTGCAGGGCTGGGGAATGCCCGGCCCATGGGCCATATAAGGCCCACAAAATCATTTGGTCTGGGCCTGCCAAGCCATTAGGGCTGAGTTAATTAAATGTTTGATCAAATATAGCAGGTTTTTAATTGATAATTTTATATGGCCCACGAATAATGTTATCCAAATATCCAAATGGCCCTTGGCAGAAAAATGGTTCCACACCCCTGGTTTAGAGCATGGGTTTAAGCACATCATTTCCCATTTCTGGGTTTTAATTCCTTTTTCCACAAGTTAATGTGAATCTCACTGAGTTGTAAGAATCAAATTTAGAGCTCAGGCATCAAAGTGCTTTAATAATGGTAATAAATGCTATTTGTATGAGTCATACTCCTTTACTTCCTGCATCACTCTTAATCATCTGGACTACAGGAATGCCTACTGCTTCAGTAACATTTACTGAAAATACATCCCAGACTCCTCTCAAACCATGAGCAGCATCCTGATGGCTCAAAGTTCTCTGTTAGAGATCTGGGGCCACATTATGAGCAGAAGAGAGATCCCTCTTGCAGGTGAAGTGGGGCTCAGCCAGGGCTCCCGTGATGCCACCAGGTTTGACTCCATGAGAGCTTTGTGTAAAGGGGGTGTCTTTCTCAGCAGTCGAATCGTTCAGAAATATGAAATGGAGCCATCAAATGTCTTCCAGTTTCACTTGGGAGGTAAGAGGTTCTGCTGCAGAGCTGTAGCCATGGTCTTTCTTCAGAGTGGCTAAACCAAGACTAGGAAGCATAGGTAACAGCTAGTGTCAGACAAATGTCAACCTTCATTCAAAACATCCTGGTGGATTCAGGGAAGGTGGTGGATAAAATGCTCCTGAGATCGCAGAGCTCAAGCCATGAGAAAACCCATTCTGGAACTTTCAGATCTGCTTTTAGCATCAGCTCACTTAGTACCAAGTCCTAGATACTTGTGCACAGCAGCTCTGCTGTAACCACAATCTTCCTTGTGGTGACATAAAGCCAGTGAGCAGCTCAGAGTATGAAAGAGTCCCATGGAACACGCAGAGAGGTGCCTGGTGCCTTAGGTTCCCCTGGTCTGTGACCTTCAGATCGGCTTCTGACTTCCCTGGCACTCAGGCCAGTACAGGCTGAGGAGTGGGCTGGAGGCTAAACAACCTTTATCAAATAAAGAAAATCAAGGCCAAACTAGGCTCCTAAGACCTCTCCCAGCAAGGCCTCAGACTACTTCAACGATTATAAGGACAGAAAAATCCAGCACATGAGAGGCCAAATGAAGTACTGCCTCCTCCACTGCAGTCCACAAAGAGAAAATTTAACCTAGTCACTAACACAGGGATGAATAAGAGACCTGTGCTTTGGTCATAACATTGCCAATAATCAACTGTATAACCTCCTGGATGGGTCACTTAACCTCTCTGTGTCTCAGTTTCCACATCTTTCAAAGGGGAGCAAGAAAGTGGCTTGCTCATAGTATTTCTAGATAAACAAAGAGACAAAATGAATAATCCATGTAAAAATCTATAGAAAAAGCAGAAAATGATATACAAAATATTATCACTTAATGATAAGATGCTCAAAATGTTATCTTCATACCCTCCACCCTGCCCAATTCCAGGCTCAAGGCAATGACTGCCCTCAAAAAGAAAGCCCTTTTTCCTATTTAAGCAGCTTTGTATTTAATTAGGACTCTCTCAGTCAAGTGGATCCAAAGGGTCCTCTGGGCCAGAATGGCAACCCTGATGTTCCTTTTTCTGGGAGTTCAAGCCATAAAGAAGTCTATAAAACATCTAAAAAATTTTGGGCCCCCTGCCCTACAAATTTCTGCATGAGCCCAGGTTAATAAGGGCCATGGCAGCTCAAAATGAGAAATTAGAGTTCCTAGGACCTTCACTAACCCCATTACCAACCTATTCGTGGCTCATCTCCTTTCCTTCCTCTGTCCTGTGTTTAGGAACAGAACTGAGACTCATTAAACAAGATGTGACATTTTCTGCATGACTTCTACTACCACTTGAACACAGGAAATTCCCATGCTTCCTTCTGAACTACTGACATCTACAGCTACCTGCCTTTTGCTCATCTTCTAATGCAGCTTCCACAGAAGACCATTAACAGTACAAAACATAACTTTTTTCTCCCCCCAAATATACCTTCTTCCCATGCTCAAATCTCAGTGAAGGGTAAACCAGGGGGACAAAACAGACCTAGGTGTTAAGCCAAAAGACTTTCTTTCCCTCTCTTCCCATCGCTGATCAGGCTCTGAATACAAACAGCTCCTGTAATCTGCTTTCTTGAAGTCCTTGTTTCCCCTTTAGCCCCATCACTACTGACTTCATTCAACTTCTCCTATTTCTCCTCTGTACTATTTTGGTCTCCCTTACTGCAGCTAAAGTGACTTTTCTAAAATTTCATTCAAACCAGATCCTTCCTTGCTAGAAATTCTTCATTCACTCCTCACAACCCACAGGACCTGATGCCAACTCCAGAGCTTAATTCACAAGGTCTCAGACTCTGGTTTCACTCCCATCCCCCAGGACATCTCATGTTCCTACCAAGCCAAATTATCTGAGACCCCCTAAGTGCCCGAGGCTTTCTCTCACTTTGGAGCTTCCTACTTGCCATTGATTTTGACTGTTTATTCTAGCCCCCCACCCCTACCTCTTTCACTAGCCTAACTTGTCTTTCAAATCTCAGCTCAAAATCATGTCCTCTAGGAATCTTCTCTGAACAGTCCCTCTCCCAGGGCTAGGTGTTCCTTCTATATTCCCCAATAGTTATCGCACTTTATCATAATTGATTGTTGTTGCTTAACTATCTCTCCTGCTAGACCTTAAGCTCCAGTGTGAGACTATTCACCAATGTGTGCCTGACACCTAGCAAAAATATTTAGCACATACTAGGAGATTTTGTATATATATATATTTTAACATTGAGTGAATAAATGTTTGGATGGATAGGCAGTTGGCCTAAGTATAAGAATTTAAGGACCCAAGTAGTATACCCCTAAGAGCCACAAAGGGCCTATTTACAGCATCTCTATGGCCTCTAGGCCAAAGCATTTCAACAGGTAGGACAAGACAGGCATAAACCAAAAACCACTAATACCAGAGGCCTATCCAGACTTCAAGAGTCACCAGGGATTTCTAAGTTAACATTTCACTTTGGCCATGCCTTACTTTTCTAAATTCTCAAATATCACTGATATAGATTGACCTAAGCATAGATGGCACTGGTGCTGCTAGGGAAACATGGTGAGGGGGTAAGTACACAGAACAACTAGTGAACTGGGGCAGAGGGTGCAGACTGGAAGGCTACAGAATAGCTGACAGAGCTTCAGGTGCAGGGCTGAGTGGAGCACCAGGAGGGCTAAGGGCACCAGACCAGAGAAGGCAATAAGATAATATGAAAAGGGCCAAAGTACATAGGGAGGGCTGAGTGGAGGTCATGGCACAGTACTGAGGTTTCAGCTAGGAGGATTGCAGGGGTGGGGGGCATAGGACAGTAAGAGTAGGACAGCTGAGGAGTTGTGGGGTTCAGTAACTGACACTTCTAGCCAGCAGGGAAGTGGGTGCACAGGGAGGGCTCCAGTAGCTGATCTTTAAAAGATCTCAGTGCCCCTAGCTGCTCAGGACATCTCTGTACTCACCTAACAAATTCCATTGATTCTAATTCCAAGGCCAATCAATGTTGGGTTGTGGAGTCACATAAAATATTTTCACCATTTCCATTGCAGAGAGTTATGTTCAGGCTTTGGATTCTGACAGATCTCATTTTAAATAAAACTCAGCCCTTTTATCTACTAGCTCTGGGGCCCTGGACTTCAGTTTCCATAGCCATATCATGGGGATGCCCACCTCACAGAACTGCTGGGCGGGCTGAGATGCTTGTGAAGCACACGCACAGTTCTAGGCACAGAGTAAGTGTTCAGTAAACTGACTCTTCCCCTTTCTAAATGAAGCTTAGCTGGTCCCATTTTAAGTATCTATGTGGGGGTGGAAATGGGGTGAGGAGGACTTATGTTGCTGACTCATTAGGACAGAAGGCATGAGTCAGGGCTGTGTAACATCCAGGGATGGAACAGGGACACTCCTCCCCCCGCCCCGTCCTCCTCATCCAGCTCCCGGGGGTCTTGGCTACCAGTGGGTCCCACGTGGTTAGGAAAAGCAGGCTCTGTTAGTACCTTTCTCACCACATTTGGAGAGGAGTGCTGGGCAGTGTTGTCCAGGGAGGGGACACTGTGAGGGGTTTCTTCCCCAGATGACTGGGGCAAGTTAGCAGCAGTATTCTTGTCAAGAGAGAGAGCTGGCTTTGGGACTTCAGCTGCTGGGGGCTCATCTGTAGCCTGTAGAAGAAAATAAAAACTTGGGTGGCTTTCACTGCAGAGAGTAGAGGCAGCAGCAGCAGCTGCACCCAGGGTTAGTGCCCACCCGCACTCCCCCTTACCACCACTGTGAACTACTTAAAATTTTTTCAGAAAGAAAGATACTCTTATCTAAACTCTTCCTAAGATATATCCGAATAACAGTCTTAGGATAAAACCCCAGGAGAATTCTGAACTAACTCTGTCATATTTGCCTTAGCAGTCATAACAGTTATGACTTAACTTGTGGTCCTCTAGGAACCCTAGACTCTTCACTGTCGTGATGAGAATTAGTCTATATCCCCTCGTAGAAACTGACCTCAGAGGAAAACTTTGAAACATGGTCTAAAGTTGAAAGTACTAAGTATTAATGTGAGGCCTTATATTTTGTAATAAAGTAAAAGTCTATAGAGCTGCTTTGAAGATATAACTGTGATCACAGATCTAAAGGAGACACCACTATGGGAAAAGTGAGTAGAGAGAAGGGAGCTGCAACAGGAAGTTCTGGGGGGAAAAAAAAAGAAGAAGAAAAGAAAAAAAAAAGAAAAGCAAGAGTTAAGAATGAAGATGTAGAAGGCAGCAAAGATCCCAGAGGTCAAAGTGCGCCTCTTCGATTGGCTTTTAGCTGAGAGAAGCATTCATCATCCCCCAGGGAGAAAACAAGGCCTCTTCTGTGGCATTCCAGAGTCCGCAGACCTGGATCCAAGACTTGGTTCTACCACTATGTTTCAGGATCTCAAGGCAAATTCCTCACCCTCTTTGACCTCCACTTCTGTACCTATGAAATACAGATGGTAATGCCTCCCTGACAGCACTGTTGATAGGATAAATGATACACTGTCTATAAAACATACCTAGCGTAGTAGGCTTTAAATAAATTTTAAGCCTATAGCTACGCAGTGGTATAAAGATGCTGCCCCGGTGCTATATACAGATCTTGTAACATAGAAACCGACACCTGAAGCCTATATGTTCATGTTGACCAATGTCACCCCAATTTAATAAGAAAAAAAAAGATGCTGCTCACTAGCATCTAATGCATACCCTCCGTTGCTCTTTAAGTTCTCCCTTTCTCCTGTCTGAGATTCATAAGTTCCCAGCAAGGAAAGGGAGGAGGTTACAAAGGTTTAAGACAGGGGTCCTCAAACTTTTTAAACAGGGGGCCAGTTCACTGTCCCTCAGACCGTTGGAGGGCCGGACTATAGTTTAAAAAAAAACTATGAACAAATTCCTATATCTTATTTTGAAGTAAAAAAACAAAATGGGAACAAATACAGTATTTGTATTTGCATGTGGCCCGCGGGCCGTAGTTTGAATACAATATTTGTATTTGCATGTGGCCCGCGGGCCGTAGTTTGAGGACCCCTGGTTTAAGAGATAGCCTCTCTCTGCCATGGCACTGGTGTCACAGAAGAGGACAGGGCTGAGTTAGGCCACTCTGGAGTGTTGAGCCCCATTCTATGTTGGGACTAGATGCTATGTTCTCTGGAGGTTCCTGAGATGGGAGGTGGAACCCAGGGCAGTCTTGAAATATGAAGGTTGTGCTCAAGGCCACCCTAAGGTGAAGAGACTGTGTTCCTGTGCCACCCTGTGGTTGGGAGGCTGTGTTCCTGAGTGATCCCAGGATGGGAAGAATATGTACCCCAAGCCACTCTGAGGCTCACCTGCACGGTGTCCTCCTGCGTCTGGGACTGGATGGGGGCTGGCTGCCTCACGATGTAGTTGATCTGCCCCACAATGGTTTGCTGAAGATGCTGAGGTGATTTGGTCTGACTCAGTTGCAGGCTGGGCTGTTGAGCCTGAAGGAGAAGCTCCAGGTCCTTCTGCATTTCCTCTAGCTCGAACTTGTGGTGCATTATGTCCACGTTCTGGGAACAGGCAGGCCCAGGAGGGTTCTCATGCTGACTAGAAGCCAGGTGCTGGGATGGAGGTAGAAGTGGGGGTGGCTGCTGCTGGGGTGGGGGTGGCAGAGGTAGCGGAGGTGGCAGCTGCTGCTGTGGCTGCTGCTGAAAGTGGCTGAGCTTCAGCTTCTGGTGGTGGCCAAACTGGACTTGGATTGAGGGTGTCTGTAAGGTGGGCTGGGCATGGGCTCCAGGCTGAACATCCTGCGGGGGGACAATGCACACCGGCTGGGAGGTCAGCTGATGCCCCAGCCGCTGGGATGTGCTCTCCGGCTCCACGGAGGGCTGGGTTTCCAGCCACGGCTGCAGCAGCTTTGGTGGGTGAGGATTGCAGGGCAGCTCTTTCTCTCTGGGTATCAGGGTGGAGCACTGCAGTGACCCCAGCTGCTGGGGCACCACCTCAGAGGGCTGCCTAAAGCTGTGAGCTTGGTGTATGCTGGGTGGGGGGACCTGGCCT